GTATAGCTAGGGAGGGCCACGAAGATTTCTTGCCCTGCTGGTTTGTTGCACAACCAGAGAGAGCTATGCACACTTCCCAGTCAGGTCATGGAGGTCCCAGAAATGCACACACTCAATCCCCTCAATAACATGTCCCTGAACAGGCACAGTCCCATCAGGTAAAGAGGGCTGACTTAGTCTCTATTCGGTTAACTAGCATGCCAACAACTTGTGGCAAGTTGTATACCGTTGCCCAGGTATACAAAGCAAGTGCCTTCTCTGTTGGTGGGACTGCAGATTGGAGCAGCAACTTTGAAAAACAGCATGGAGGGTCCTCAAAAAATTAAAAATGGAACTGCCTTATGATTCAGAGATTGCACTTGTGGGTATATGCCTGAAGAAACCCAAAATACTGAATCGACAGAATATATGCATCCTTATGAAATCTTACCATTTGCAACATGGATGGACCTAGAGAATATTATGCTAAGTGAAATAAATCAGTCAGAGAAAAACAAATACCATATGATGTCACTTACACATGGAATCTAAAGAACAAGATAAATGAACAAACAGAATTGAAATAGACTCTTAGTTACAGAGAAGAGACTGATGATTGCCAGAGGGGAGGGTTGGGGGACTGGGTGAAAAAGGTGACGGGATTAAGAAGTACAAATTGGTAGTTACAGAATAGCTGCACGCATATGAGGAGAGCATAGGGAATACAGTCAATATTGTACTATGTGTGGTACCAGGTGGGTATTGGGAATACCGGAGGGGACACTTTTATTTATTTTATTTTTAATTCTTATTAATCCTCACCCAAGGATATTTTTTCCACTGATTTTTTTAAAGAGATAGTGGAAGGGAATAAGGGAGGAGGGGAGAGAGGGAGAGACAGAAAGAGGGAGGGAGAGGGAGAGTTAGAGGGAGAAGGAGAATGGAGAGGAAGAGGGAGAGAGACAGAGAAATACTCATCTGTTGGTTGCCTTTCGAATGTGCCCCAACCAGGGCTGGGAATTGAACCTGCAACCCTTTGGTGTGCAGGCCAATGCTCTAACCACTGAACAACCAGCCAAGACACAGGGAACACTTTTAAAGCATATGACTGTTTAACCACTATGCAAAATAATATTGAATGTAAACTGTATTGGAAAAAAAACAAACAACTTCCTTTCTTATCCTCAAAAAATTTAAATTAAATTAAATTTAAAATAATAAGTGCTTTCTTTCAACTGAAAGTAGCACCAGGAAAATGCACATCCAGTATTGATTATCTATCTCTATGTTAGAACAAACATGAAAACCACACAAAGAGATTGGGCCACTTGGAGCAATTACTGTATTTGCCGGCGTATAAGACGATTTTTTGGCCCTGAAAAATATGCCTCCAAGTGGGGGGTCGTCTTATACGCCAGGTACACTTCAGATAGACTGCCCATAGTGCTTGCCCCGTGCCATAATGGCCTCCCGATGCCCGCCCACTTCATTCTACATACTGTTCAGGCATCAGC